TGGTAGAGCCGTGTGAGTGACTATTCAGTTTGATAGCTAATAATCGACTAAAACTTTATTTGAAACTTTCGAAAGTTCTATAACTAGTACTCTATTACACGATTCCAGCACTTGGAGGCTAATCTACTGTACACCAGAGCTAATGTATACTATATTTGTAATAAACAGTCTACACGTCAGACCTCACTGTACAGTATATTACAAGTTAGGAATATCTCAACCAATAGTTTATTTCAACGACCTTCTCATGTATTTCTGATATTCAGACATTTATTGGTTGTGAGTTTTATGCAAAAATCATTTTCACAAAACAAAGAACAGGGTTAACGATTAGAGTCTAATCTTTAGTTACATTGCTTACAAAATCATATGAACCGGCTTTCCCTTTCTGCACGTGAGTGGGGATTGAGATGACATAAAAGTTTTATATAGAATAATAGTTGCTAGGATAGGTGTTTCTAAATAAAAATAATATTCTAGAATTATTCTTACTTGTTAATATAAAATTATATTCATAATTCTTTATATTCATAAGTAAAAATAAATTTTATTCAAAAACTATTGCAATATAGTACTGTAATGTATAAATATTCACTGATATGCATTGTATTCAAATATACTATTGTTGCCAATAGTTATTCAGTGCAATACATGTGGACTTTACCACAAAATGAATGGAAACAATCGACCACTTGTTAAGAATCAAAGGCGGCTAACAGTAAGACATTTATTATATAAGATATTTATTACATAAACAAATTCTATGGTATATAACGCTAAGTGACTATTGAATAGTTGATTCACTATTCTGTTCAACACATCAACACTTGAATTGCACTCATATTCTGACTGAATGTCTGTCTGTCTGTCTGTCTAATAGACACAATCAAGACGTTCAGGTCTCTCGTGTTCCGACTGCTCGACGACTAACACATCCTTATGGCGGCGAAATGGTTTAGGAGAGCCGGTGTGCAACGCCTGTGGCTTATACTACAAACTCCATAGCGTTAACCGTCCGATCACTATGAAGAAGGACTCCATCCAAACCCGCAAACGAAAACCCAAACAACAGGCCTCAGACCAACAGTCCTCTCAACCACTGTCCACATCTCACTCACAGCCCTATTCTATTCCATTGAAACTGGGAATGGGATTAGGAGTTAGATAAGACCCTGCTGACTTTAAAATAGACATTTTGACAAATTGTCAATAATATACATAAGTGTTACATAAGTTGTTGCTACTGTAGATTATCATTTAGCACCGGCACTCAAATCTTCAGTTAAAGCCATTAATTAGTCGAATAATACTGATTAACCTCTATATCAAATATTTAGGTGCTTTCACTCAGGTTCAATTAATATCAATTTTGCTCAATTATGTCTCATCACCAAAAACTTGAACTCATGGTCTAAATGTCAACAATGGATTACTTTCTAAATTAACAATAACCTCCCATTGCATGAAAACTTGATCAATAAAATTGATAACACTTTCTGAGAATTGTTTATCAAATGAAATAAGTTTTATGCGATATTTCAACGATATTTATAATTAAGTAAATTATTTCCTTATCAATACAAACGTTAAGGAGATCTCAAGTAAAGCAAACATTTGATCTTTTTATGAATCTTTCGTAATGTATCTTACAGTATATTATCACTTAATACTCTATTTATTTATTAATATTACAGTCAAGTAATGTAACGTTTAAGTTATAGTGAAATATTAATAAGAATAAAATTAAATCAATATTTAAATGCTTTGTGTCTGGTGAATATTTCACCCATGTTAAATTAGCAAATATTCACAATTCTCAGATCTAAGTAATGTAACGTTTAAGTTATAGTGAAATATTAATAAGAATAAAATTAAATCAATATTTAAATGCTTTGTTTCTGGTGAATATTTCACCCATGTTAAATTAGCAAATATTAACAATTCTCAGATCTTTGTGTATTAGAAATGCATATCATGTGCTCCCATCCCCTCCCCGACACTTTGGACTTATTTTCAAATTACTTCTCAAATAAATGACTCATAAGATCTCAAAACTGACATAATTTGGAGATTAAAATCATAAGCAGATTAAATAGTAGTGAATTTGTTTCTGTGAAATATTGATCGCATTTGTGTTTATATTTCAGTCAAACTTTGACTGAACGCTGAACACAGAAATCCCATTATATTTAACGCTTTTAACGAATACCGGTCTGAAAATTAAGAAACTTTTCATAAAAAATGCATTTCCTGTGCTTTTCAATTCTTGACACATTATATGTGAGCCTGGTATACACTTCTCTTATCTTAATATTTAAATATTTGAGCGCATATTGAATTCATATTTCTCACTTAAAGCATCAAAAACTATATTTCTATATAAAAAATAATTAGAATTCTATAACAAGTTTTCAATACATATCTAATGACTGAAATTCAGTCACTGAATGGTAGAACTCACACAAACACTGAACAGTATTTGTATTGTTATTGTGTTTTATAATTGAAACCAAAAGTTTTAAATATTGCTATTTTATTTGGCGCCTAATAAATAAATAAGTTGTAAGTTATAATAATGCAAAACTTGAGTAATCTTGGTAATCTAATACTTGAGCGTCCAATACATCAGTTGCACTGAAAGACTGAAGGAATTGCATTCATTGAGTTGGCAATTGAAATAAAATGTCTTTGCTTATATTGCATTTTTGCTTTAATTTAATTACAACAACAGAAATAATTTGTTTTTCCCCGGTTGCAAACTCATGTCACAAAAATCACATCATATGAATATTTGGTGAGTGCAGCAAATCCTGGTGCAAATGATTTGTTTTTGAAATTTTAATTCTGTTTTATAATAATGTACTCGTGAGTGCATTATGCTCAGGCACATGCCTTATAAATTATAATGCATACAAATTGCAATTGCGATCAAACCATTAGTTATTTGTTTGATCCGATGCTAATGTCTGATGTCATGTGAATATTTGATTTGCAAAACTCAAGTTATGGTCAAACAGTGAACATATTCTTGACTCACGTTTGCCATGAATAGAGCTGAACAACAGCTTATATACTGAAGTCTTATATTATCTCATATGTTGACAAACACACCAAAACACAAACATATCTCTATTCTATAAATACAATTCTGTAGTTTCTCTGCTATTATATGAATAAACAATACGACAAAAAAGATAAAATTAACAAAACTTCTTTTGTTAACATCTAATTCCTATTCAAACACTCCTTATACTGTATAATGATATATATATCGCATAATATTTATATTATTTTAACACAAATCTAGATATTTTTCAAAAATAGATAAAACAAAATGTTAAATAAACTTATGTGTTATGTAAGAGGTCTGACAAATAATTGTACTAGATGAAGATTTTTTATTTAAGTAGGTTTTTACAATTTCTACCAATATTTGAGTATGAAAACTGTTTATTTAGACATCGGACCAGAGTATTGAATGTAACCGTATTTGTTGACTCATTTTTATGCAATTCTTGCAAATCTTTTGTGAAACTTAAGCAAACACTGAATTAAACATTTATTTTAAATCAGTTGCAAAAAATTAGTTTAATAATCAAGAAATCAATTTAGAATCAAAGTTCAGTCAATGGAAAATGATTTGTAACACAAGATCTTTATATAATATAAAGTTTATATTATAAACATCAGATTTACAGACAAATTATTAAAGGGATGACCAGGTTTTGATATTCATGGGGTCGTGGGAGAACTTTTTTCACTAGATTGTTTACCTTGTTAATTCGGACATATATTACTGTAATATATTTTCAATTAAAACACATACAGTAGTATATTTCAAAATGCGGTGTTGGATGAGTTGAAAACAATATTTAAATACAAATCCTGATTGTACTAGGACAACTCCTGGACAAACCTCAAATGATGTCTTTAATATTAAGAATCGTTTCTGGATTTAAGTTTTCAGACAGATTTTAAACACTTCAATAGTTGTATCAACACTTTTTTTGTTCAATTTTTCAAATACTTTTTAGTATAAACGTATAGAAGCCTTGAAATAAAAATTATGTTTTTTGTATACAATAAATCATTGAAAAAATGAATTTTTATAAGTTATATAATATCTGATATAAATTAAGTATAATATAAACAATCAATTAATAAATATCTAAAATGTTTCTCTAGGTTTTATATACAAAATAAACAAAATTCTCAAAAATTCATAAAAGAGTTCCTCTTTGACGAGGAATGACAATAGAAATCATTGTCTGAAAAGTATAGAAAACTTGTAAATAAAGTATCATGATACTTTTGAAATAAATGATACTTTTGAAGAGATTGAGTCTAAATATAGATTTGGACTTTTGGTCGAATGATTCGCATTGTTGTGGTTGTGGTCGGCGTTGTTGTCATGGCTGAGGGACCAGCTTTTGGTGACTCGGGTTTCGAGATCAATGACGATGTAATGGTGGGCGAAGAATGGGGTGACGGGGGCTGGTATTGCGGGATGGGCGTGGAGTGAATGTGGTGGTGAATGGGCTGCTTAACAGCCGTATTGGCGGCCACACTGAAGACTGGCACCGGGATCTTCTGGTCGAAGCGGTCGTCTTCGTGGGTATAATAAACTGCTCCCTGTTTTCGGTAAAACACAATCACCGCTATTATAACGAAAAGCAATGACATGATTATAAATATGGCTAAAATGAGTCCAATTTGGGGCTCAGACGCCGTTAATCTGAGCTGAACCCTGGGGTCGGAACACCACTCGAGATCAAACTCATTGAGTAGATGTAAGTATTTGTTGGCCAACTGTTTGGGTGCCGAGCACTTGATGCAGTACTTGAGTCGGGACTCCTCTTTGGAGTAACGGTGACACACATTGAAGTAAGGGGTGGGCGACGAGTCGATCCAATCGACGGCTGCCATGATGTGACACCTATAGCACGACCAGGGATTGTCATTCCAGTAGATGGCCTGGAGTTGTGTCATTGAATTAATTTGTGTGAACACAGGATATCCTAATCCGAAGATTCTGTTGTGCGAGAGATCCAGAGTCTGGAGATGAATGAGTGGCGCGAAGAGTCGGGCGCTTATGTTCACGAACTGATTGTACGACATATTCAATGAGACCAATGAATCCGCGTTATAGAAAGTCGAGTCAATGAGTGTATCGTCGAGTGAATTGAATGCGAGCGACAAATGAGTTAATCGTTTGAGCGGTTGTATTAAATACGCGACACTCGCTGTCGAGTCAATTAAGTGGCGGTTTGAGTGGGCGTTCAGTACGAGCAATGAATCCGATAACGGCTCCAGTATTTTCGACTGAAATGACGTGAATTTGTTGTTTGAAATGTCCAGTTTACTAATCGATGTGTTGCAGAAAGTGCACGAATACAGCGAATTGATTTGATTATCTGACAGATCTAGTGTGTCCAGCCCTTGCAGACCACTGAATGTATTGTCCAGTAAAACAGATATTTGATTGCCGTTCAGTCGAAGTACTTTTAAATTTAGGAGTGAACTGAACTCATGTGACGGCAAATACACGAATTGATTATCACTTAAATCAAGATATGTTAGGTTTGGAAGACCTGTATATACGAGTGAATGAAGTTTTTCTAAACGACATTTCGATAGATTAAGAGCCGATAGGTTTCTAATGTCTTTAAAGTCCTCGCCGTGTATTTCGCGCAAAGGGTTTCCACTGAGATCTAGTACTTCCAGTCTCTCGAGTTTGT